TCATCAGATTCTGCAGTCTTTTGTTTACGTTTGGTTGGCAATGTCGACTTCTTGGTAGTTTGCCCGCCTTTGTTCGCTACACGTAGATCAAAAGAAACTCAGATTAAGTTTTATAACAAGCAAAATTGAAAGGAACGTCCTTTTCGTGTATGTAGTACTTTGTGGTCTGTAGGCATTGAAAAATTCAACTTTGTTGGGCAACATTTAAGGTACCCAGAAAACTACAAACCCGCCATTCATTAATGCAACAGACAAGAATAAATAACAGAGTTACGGAGTGTTATCTATGAAGGTCAGTATCTTTCTAGAAAGGGTGACTAGGAATTCTCCTACAGCGTTGAATTACGTTTACGGTGAGCTAAATTATTACATTTGTGGAGGCGCGGTGGCCTCATGACTGGTGCGCTCGCCTCTGGATCGAGTGGTCCCCTTGGCCGAGAACATTGTTTGTAATCTTGGGCAAGACACTTTACTCTCACAGTACCTCTCTCCACCCAGGTGTAGAATCGGGTACCGGCGAATTCAATGTTGGAAAGTAACCCTGCGATGGACTAGCATCCCATCCTACAGTAGTTGCTTTACATGTATGCTTTAGAAACCGGGATAAGCTCCGGCCTGATGGGCCACTTGGCTCGTATGCAGACTTTACCTTTTTGCCTTACCATAACATTTAGCGGTAATACACAGGTGTTTATATAGCCTGCTTTATGTTTTTTTTTTTTAAGCCAGGCAAGAGTAACAAGATTTTGATCTTCAATACATACAGGCACCTGTTTTCTTCTCTGTACCACTGGTTGGAGTTTTCCCTTTGTTGTTTCCTACTTTCTTTGCTGGAGATTTTGTGTCACTTTTCGACTGTGTCAACCAGGATGGCAATTTGCGAGTCTTTTGTAACAAAGGAGCTGGCTCCACTACTGGCTTGGATGGTGAACTTGTCTCTTGCTTAGACTAATACAATAAGTAAGCAATAAACATTAAGAAACACACAGTGAAAAAGGATTTTCATTCAAACATATCATCCTGTACGTAGTCCCTACATAGTATCGTTGATGTGCCCTTTAAAACTAAAAAAGGTAAAGGTAGGTAAAGTCTGCATGCGAGCCAAGTGGCCCATCAGGCCGGAGCTTATCCCGGTTTCTGTAGCATGAAGCGACTAGGAGTATTTCTACTCCNGTCTGTCGTCCAAAAATTCATCAAGGAATGATTCTGGAAAAAATTATATTCGTTTGTTAACAAGTACAGTCTGAGCAAGTCATGTAGATTTACAGATTAAGGTTAATTACATTTCATCATATCCTGCCGGTACATGCACAAAGTGATGTACATGTGTGTATTATAAGTTCTACAATCATATAAATAAGAGAGGGTCGAGTTATTCCTGAGTCCTTGACATTAGAGAAGCCAGCTGCCTTAATATAAGTTAGTGGTAAGTAACTTATTTCTGATTTTACAGTAGCATTAAAAGCCCACACTCATCCTTGCATCATTTAACCTGAGTTTGGCAATTTTTCATGTTTTTGCCATAAAAATTAAATTGAACCGAACACCTCTATGATGCCCACTTTCAACACAAATTCCTTGAGACAAATGTCACACGTTTCACTTTCCATTGATAATTTTAACCAAAATGGATAAGAATTGTGTTGTAAGGAGATCAACAGTTTCGAATGCAACTTCATTCATGCTTTGTCTTAAAGTTGTGTGGCATCATTATGACTGGATGCTGCTCCATCAAGCACTTTGTTTGGTTTTCCTGACAACTTGGTGGTCAACCTCAATCCCTGGCTCTCTTCACTGTTATGGAGAAAGACCATGGTTAAAGGCAAACATAATCAAAGGTTCTACTCTTTTGAGACTCAAAATCATAAATTAATTATATTGACCAATGAATATCAATGAAAACATCATTTCTCTCTCTCTCCTACCTGTAGGCACTTTTGATGACGCCAAAGGCTTTTCCTGATCAGGTGCCACAGTTTTATCTGTTACTGGAAGAACAGTATCTGTTTCCGTGCTTTTGGAGGTTTTTTCCTGTTCTTTTTCCACACCATTTTTGCCCAAGCTTCCCTCACAGATGACCTCATAACACAGGCTTTCAGGAAGCAGGGAGATGACATTGCCACTGTCCAGGTCTTTGGTCTCATCTTTCTTCAAGCTAATAAACTTTTCCTTTCCAGTAGCTTTGTAAAAGGTTGGATTGCTATGAAGCTGTAATATAAAAGGGATAATTTGAACAGTTATTGATGATCAATGCTGTTAAGCAACCAGCAAATACTAATTATTAGCAACTGTAAACACACTATGGAAAAACCTGTCTAATAGGAATAGACAGAAAGATTCAAAAATTTATACATAAGAAATGAGGCAAGATTCATGATGACATTTAAAACCCCAACGACAACAAACTATGTTTCCTTGAGTATTAGCGGCTAGGCTACTTATATTTTAGATATTTGAAACATAATACAGGATATGTCATTAGCACTGGGGGTGGAGACATACTCTTGTTTATATTCCCAAGTCAAAAT